ATCTTTCCACTACATGAGAATGTACAATTAATTAATTTCCTTTTAGTATTAAACAGGAATCTGACAGTTTAACACAGCTTAAATCAAATTTGAATTTAATTAATTTAATCCGTAGTTTGGTAGACTTTCCACCTTGTTTCATGACATTTTGCATTTGTCTGAAAGTCTACCTGTTGTTCATCTGTACATTCTTGATCCAACCTATATATATGCCTAGTTTTTACCTGTCCCACCTGTATTTCCCCAAAACACTTTTTTTATATCATTGTATATAATATCATTGTATTTATCATTTTGAAAAAGACACTTAGTTGTATTACATAATACAGTGGTGTGTTTCTACCAAATTTCAAATGCAATGCTATACTACTTATATCAAAACAAAAAAATATCATTCATTTGAAATATCCATTTTAAAAATATCAAGGTTATATACTCCTCTTTATTACATACTTACTGATAAATACGGGTTTTTTGTATATGCGATACGACACAATTGCTCTAACCCATATCAGCTCTCGCCGCATCACACCCCAAAACCCGTAGCAGCCCGCAAAACCCATATCACAACCCTTTTGGAAAAAAACTCGTTTTTCAATATTTCAAAAATAAAAATAAATCATAAGTTAGTAGTTTTTATTAGTAAATATGTAATAAACAGAATAAAACATGCCTTTTTCCATATCACACCCAGTATCAACCCTCGACCAATATCAGCCCTCGGGCCTTCGGCCCTTGAGCTGATATTGCAGTCTCGGGTTGATACTGGGTGTGATATGGAAAAAGGCATGTATTATTCTCTATGTATTTTCATAACATGGTTTACCTTTTGCCCTATTTTGACTGAAATGAAAACATTGAAGGCCAAAATTTAACATAAACAAAAGACACACATACAGAATGAGGTGCAGATGGATTTTTCAATTTTTGAACAGGAACAGATTTGGAAACCAAAGCCCCAAAACAGGCTTAATAACTACCCATCTTTTGTACATTTCATACTTATTTGTTCATTTTTCTCATGAAAAGTAACTATTTCAACATAAAAAAATGTTTTACCTCTTCCGACCATTAATCACACAATATCAGTCCAAAATCTCATCAAAAATGTGCACTTTTAGCTGCCGACATGGGTTAAACTGTCTGCAGCGAGGATTTGTTCAACTTCAAACACTTTAAAATTTATTTTTTTAAAATATCAACAAAAAAAATGTATTATCAGAAAGTAATACCCTGTGTCACGGGTAATAAGAAAACATTAAAAGGTCGTTTTCACTATCTTATCTTAGATTCATTTAAAAGGTAAGAGTAATCGTGTGTGATCGGACAAGCAATGAAAAGGCATCCATCTTCTTTCTCCCGGACACTGCTCAGGCAGATAATTCATACACCAAATATTCATAAATATCAATCTTACCCATGAGTATTAGGAGGGAATTATGTAATTTTGTGAAAGCCATTAAAATTCTGTTGAACAATTCAAATCTATCTGTCCATTAATTTCAGATTTGAATACTTTTAACACTGATTTCAAGCTCTTGCATCATTAATGCCCAAAACTTGCATTCAAAAATTCTTGACACTCCAACAAATGTTGATATCAAAATTATTGTTCAATTATCAAAGCTTATCCCACTATACCTTAATTGATTGCTGGTGCTTGAATCAATTGGCCCTTCTCTTCATAGAAAAAAAAATATCCCAGATTTTAACAACAAGACCACTACAAGTTATCCAGTATATTTATTGACAATCCTGTTTACCAGGTATTCCCAGCTTTTGAGACAACTTATTCTTTTCAACTAAGTGAAAGTTCATTACTGCAACTAAAATCTGTATCATTGCTGGACTCGTTAATCAAAGAAATTTTAAAAGTTCCCAAAAGTATAACGATTCTGTTAACCCTGGTATGACATTGCCTTGCGAATACCTAATTCATATCATTTAGAGCTCTTCACAAATTAACAAGATTTTTGCAGTGCTTTCACTGACTGATATTTGTGTTCTTAGTATTCACAACTTCACAAAACATCCACAACATCTGCATTTGATCCAACAATAGTGCAAGCCAAAATAGAATTACATATTTGACTTTTAATTTCAATACATGATATCTATAATAGTGTCAATTCGATCCTTCCTGATTTCCATGAACATTGCACACCATTTCCACACAATTAGAATTTGAGAAAAATTCTAGCTAGCGACCAAATACTGACCCTAGGCCTAACAGTTCTTAAGAAGAAATCATATAAAGACTTCCAACACCTTTGACAAGTGACTTTGAATGAAGGTCAAGGTCACATAACTGGATACCTTGAAAATCCTCCATTTCTGTTAACAATAGGCCAAATCTCATAAGCACCCAAGGCCTTATTGTTCTAAATAATTCATATAATATTCTAACATTTAAACCCCAATATGGATCTGATAAAGGTCAAGGTCATTTATTTCACCTTTGTAAATACTAGCTGCTTCCTACCGACTCGGCTAGGGAGAACTCCTCTTTAGTTCGTTCGGTAGAGCATAATACTAATGAGCCACAGGTCCTGGGTTAGACTACTGGCGGAGGAATTGAACAAATAATGACCCCTGTTACATTGGCCCCCACGTAGGGACCCCGGGAGTTCTTTCCTGGAGGGCGAGTATGTCACCCTGGTAAAGTACTAGCCGCTTCCTACTGACTCGGCTAGGGAGAATTTCTCTTTAGCTCATTTAGTAGAGCGCAAGACTAGTAACCCAGAGGTCCTGAGTTCGACTCCCGGCATAGGCAATGAAAAACTAATGACCTCTGTTACATTTATTTGAAAATCTTGTAAAGGCCTCTATCTGAGAAAGCTACATGCCATATACCCCGACTCCAGGGCCTTAGGTTTTTGGTTATTTGTGTCACCTAGAATTAAGGTCTATGTCATTTATTTTACCAACTTGATTAATATTGCCCTACATCTCAGCTAGCTACAGGTCAAATATCAGGACTCTAGTTCTTGTGGTTCTTGAGAAGAAGTAGAAATTAAAATTGTTAACATAATGGCAGACAGCCAACAAAGACCCATGACAATGTGTCACTCGTGTCTTTACTCAGATGATGAGATAATGTCTGATGAAAACATGCTTATATATCTCGGTAACTGTTGAGATGTGCTTAATGACATATAATAGTTTGTCTACTTTACGAATGAAAGTCTGTTTTAAGTTTCAACCAAACTTTTTTTCTCAAAAGTTTTCTTTATCCCCCCCCCCCCCCCCCCACCTGTAGATCACAAACTATCTTAGGAAGGTACACGTTTTGATGTTTTGGTACAATCTCAATTTTGCACATCCCATCTTATGCGTCAATGCACATGGTTTATGAACACCAGATGTACAAAGCATTGCAGGTAACAAGAAGGGCCCCTTTGTTGCATCGATTAATCTAACAGTCAGAAATTTTCCGTGTAATTTTATGCTCCGCTTCACCCTTGTATTTAAATTTCTCTGGTGTCAGCTCACGAGACATACACTATTGCAAAAAATCAAAGTGCGAAAGATTCTCCCCAACCCCTTGTGACACAGAAATGAACGAATCTTGACACAAAGATTTGACAATTTAATTTGAAAGAAACACTACATACTTTACAATCTACACAAAGCACTTAACAATATACGTGCCAGACTTACGTACAGTCTGTAGGGTAGGCAAAAACAGGTGTGTCGCACACAGGTATGTAGTATACAGGTATGTTTGTATATATATTAAAACATAATACAATCTATGCATGATAATGAGCAATAATACAAGTGTAACTGTCTGTGTTTCCACTACCAACCCAATTTTAGGTTTAACGTGTTGGAGCTTGTGATAAAATCTTAACTTTCTGTATTCTTGGAGCGTACCTTTATTCACAAAATGTGACATAATCTAAATATGTCTTGATCTGTTTATAAGACATCTACTAAATTGGACAACAACATTTCCTTTTCTCGATGTTTCCTGTCTGAAATGTGTGACCAAGAAGACCCTGTGAGATTCTCAGCATTTCCTCAACATTTCAAGTTATCAAACCCCTAAGAATATTAGCTAGAACTTTCTCCATGGTATTTAACTCATCTACCCCTGAAGACACATTTGAACTCTTCCAATTCAAAGGTTGGAATAGTTCATTATGAAATGTCAGGGGTGAATGAGTTCACAAATACTCCTTGAAGCATGTTCCAATAACTGAGCTCTATGGTCATTCTCTTTCCAGGTACAATCCTACCTCGTCTGTATCTTCCGTTTCTCTATATATCTTCTAACCAAATCTCTTCCCTAGTAAGTGTACATGTATGTATAGATATACATGTATTCTTCTGCATTTTCTACGTCTATACGACATACACGGTAGTCGATATTAAGGCGAACAATGTTCTCCCTATCAATACCCCAACATAAGTTGAATTTTTCGGCAAAAAACAAACAATTCAAAATTTTAACCAAAAACTAAGTCGTCTTACCTTTTATAGATTTGAGGTATTTGATGGTTATTTATTGTAAATTACTTTTTCTTTTTTTTATCATCAATGCTGAAATGCCGTCAACTGGAACTTTGTAAAGTACACCTGATACAGTCGATGTACATTTAAACCCCATTAGAATATTTCCCATACAATGCCTGCCCGCATCCGTTTCACAAAGTCTCTCATATACGATTCAAATCAATTGTTGTTATTGTTATATACAAAAAACACACTTTCCCCGAAATACCACTTTTCGTATAAAGTGAAGCTAATCAAAAACCATTAAGATTAAATTGCTCACCCATGAGAAATTTGGAGGTGTGAGCTATAAATAGAGTCAGGATATAGTCTGTTGTATCTATAAACAACCAGTGCGTATATATATCCCCAGTTTCGACATAAAAAGTCTCCTCATTCTCTTTCACATCGTTTGTCGAGAAAATGAAATAATTTAAAAATCGGAACAATTCATTGTGTTTATCTACCTCCATTCTCTTATGCTTACTGATATTGAATCTTACCTTTGTAGATGATTGCTTTGAAAACCAAACTATTTTTCAGATGTTCGGTCTTTGACGATTGGTTATTTGGACAAGGCGTGAACCAATAGGAGGTTATCCCTCTGCGTTGCCGTGTAGACGTGTCGGCGGTCTGGACAACAATGCTTGTATCTCACCTGAAGGAGTGTAAACATGGTGTAAATTGAGGGTTACAATACATATTGTGTATTCAGCAGTACAATCTAACGATAACCTTGATAAAAAGTTAGCCGGCGATATAAACACTTGTTCCACTTGTCCGACACAATCTAAACAATGTTATATAGCTAACCTGGCTGAGACTTGACAAATGTAAATTTGCTGCAATCGAAATGCCACTTATTCATTACTTGTATACAGGTATAAACTACAATAGTTTTATCAAATGCGATACGGGGTAAACACTAGCACGAGTACAGTAGAAACAAGCCCCTTTACAGATTACACAATCTGTCCAAATCAAAGGAACATAGCTTACTCAAACACAATTTTCTAGATTAACATTCTATCTTGAGTAAGGGTTAGAAGATAAGCATTAGGACCAATAAAACAAACAGGTACTCCACTTTTTGAAATTTTTCACACCCTACAATGGCTTCTTTACGGAATTCTTTTGGAAAAAATCGTCATCATTTAACTCAAATTTAAATATGTGAATTTATTTCACATGTTCTTTTTCTTCACAATCAAATACTGCAAAAGATCAAAGGCACAAACTTCACTGTAAAAGTAGAACTTGTAATGTTCAGTTTTTGCAACAAATACTGTCTGAAGGTTGAAATCTCAAGTCGTTTTTTGTTAAAAATCATTAAGTCACTACCTGTCTTGCATTCTCTGGAGAAAGGACAATAGAATTTAAAGTTAAATGTATAAAAGTATTATTTTCAACATCACACCCCTGATTTGAGTTAGATTTAAGTACCTTATATCTGTGATATGTGTAAGAGTTAAGGTTGCATGCTACCTTTCACATTAAACCTGTGATTTGCATTAGAGTTGAGGTTACATTACACCTGTGATTTGTGTTAGAGTTAAGGTAATATGCTACTTTACACATTATACCTGTTATTTGTTTTAGAGTTAAGGTTATATGCTACCTTACACATTACACCTGTGATTTGTTTTAGAGTTAAGGTTATATGCTACCGTACACATTACACCTGTGATTTGTTTTAGAGTTAATGTTACATTACACCTGTGATTTGTTTTAGAGTTAAGGTTACATTACCCCTGTGATTTGTTTTAGAGTTAAGGTTATATGCTACCTTACACATTACACCTGTGATTTGTATTAGAGTTAAGGTTATATACTACCTTACCCATTATACCTGTGGTTTGTATTAGAGTTAAGGTTATACACTACCTTACACATTACACCTGTGATTTGTATAAGAGTTAAGGTAATATGCTAGCTTACCTATTATACCTGTGATAGTATTAGAGTTAAGGTTATATGCTACCTTACCTATTATACCTGTGTTTTGTATTAGAGTTATAAGGTTAAACTCTACATTACCTACTCTACATTACCTATTATACCTGTAACTGACTTAAAGTAGTGTTAAGAGTTACAAATATTTAGGTAAATATTCCTCATTATAACTGTGTTGTATGTTAAATAATGCTACCTAACACATATTCATACCTGTGATGTTTGTTAAAAGTCATAAATATTGCCTTTAATTTCATTCAGTTGAAATCTAATAATTCAGAATTATCGAAGTATCATCAATGTGTTCATTCATGTGTACTTTTCAAATGTGTCATCAAGTAGGCAATAAAAATGGATAGACCACAAATACCAATAGTGTAATTATATTATGAAGCAATCTCATTGTGTTTCGATACACTTAAAAATCTTACCCGGATGAATGTAAGTAAACAAGCATCATGTTTCTTCATGTGGTAAAGGACAGGTCTACTTTCAAACTCAAGAATTACAGGTTTTACCTCGTCTTTGATTATAAATATATATATATTATTGTCTATCTAACCAAATCCATAACAATTAGAACTCTTCTGCTAATTAAGGATCCCTGTCCCACTGTACTCTGATTTTCGTATCTATACAGCTTCCCTAACTTCCATTTGGATGTTACGGCGGAACTGTTGGGGCAGCACACTTTTAATTATCAATATCAGGTAGCTCAGTTATATAGAGCACCAGTATAAAAATCTGGGGTCAAGGGTTCACCTCCCAGCCTGGCCCCGCTGAATTTTTACTCTCAGAACACTGTTGTTAAATATATTTTGTTCATTTCTGATCTTTATTGTTCTTTTTTCATAAAAGTCCAACATGGTTTTTCTTTTCAGAAATGATTAATCAAAGGTATAGTCGTGCCATAAAAAAACAGTTGTCAATACTAGTTACAGTTTTTGGCAGTAGTAAGGTGATCCTTAAATGGGCCACATAAAGAAAATTGTATGAAAGGTGATGATGGTTTGACTTATTGCAGCTACCTGTAATTATAGCCAAAATAAAGTCTGAAGTTATATTTCTATTCTTCTAGCAATTATCTTCAGAATTTTATTCCAAGGATAATTCTGGAAGGATCCATGGGGCCTTTGGGGACTCTCAACACTGAAAATTGACCCTATTGTTTTCCAATTTTTTAAATATTATGCCTTTGAAGTTTTTTGTTTAGTAAAAATTGTTAAAAATAGCTTGTTGCTCTCAGCTTCCATGCTTTTCCCTGCTTTTCATTGGTGGTATTTAGTTTATTGAAAGTTTTAAAAAACAAACAAAAAAGGGAAATATTGCCAAAAAAAATATCTTTGAGACAAAAGATGCAAGTCATATCTGCTGCTCCAGCTGAAATTATTAGCATGAATCAGAATGTATGTGCTAGAGACGAACTTTTACAAACTCGATAAATTTAATTTATATTCCATCACCTCTCACACCCACTCTTACAACAATGGCCGACAGTCGTCTACAAATGTGTTTTGTTATACAGATAATAGATTTATCATGGCTGACACCAAATCAGACGACTTCCTATTTATATTGTGTATCTATACTTACCTGTTTATGTACTGTCCTGATCAGTAAAAAGGTCTGTTGTCACTTGTCCGACAAAGATAGTGACCACATAACACAGTAGTAATATAAGTCCCTTGTAAATATATATGTTACATTCCTATATTTGTAAACATCCAACATCTGCATAAAAGGGTTGTTTAGTTGTTTAAATCCTTCGTTTCAGATGAATAGATCAAAATCCCTGCCAGATGTTTGCAAAAATCTCAAAAATATAAAAATAGAAATATTGCAAGTTGATAAATCTTTGTACAATGGTTGCTATCCAGAGTCCTTCATTGTTATCATGAACTCAATTCTTACTAATCATTAAACTTTTTATCACCTGATCAACTGTAGTCAGGGTTATCATCTTATTGTATCTCGTTACCGTGACTACATCCTCCTTGACAATATCTGTGGTACGGAGTCTGATAAGTGACACTTACATTTCATAATACTGGTACAACATCACATCCACTTACAAGTGTGTCACTGTGGAAATCCCATCACCAATATCATATATATATATGATTACAATAGAAGAAATCTTACTTTCACCACTTGGTGTATAATTATGGGGCTCATGTCGCGCTAGTGAAAATGTTCAATATTTACTTTTAAATTAAGGCCAGGACAGTAGAATTTTTCAAAATCATTTTATACCGTTAATTAGTAGCCGATATATCCTAGTATCACAATTTTGCAACCAGACCAGGATTCAAACCCAGGACCCAGTTCAGTTCCGCTACTTTCCTCCCTCCTTCTCATCCTTGAAGACAACTCTATTTACAACCCAGGTTTGGGTATCCCATTTAATTGCCAAGCATTCACTCAGACTTGAAACAAGGGTTGGTCACAGGCAGAAATTTTGTAATTAAAGAGGAAAAATGCAATGGCCAGATGAGTATTTAAACCCAGGACCCTCCAAACTCTAGACAGATGCTCTACCTGGTCCCTGAGTATAGACCCGGCCAGTTCAGTTCTCCTACTTTCCTCCCTCTTTCTCATCCTTGAAGACAACTCTATTTACAACCCAGGTTTGGGTATCCCCTTGTAATTGCCAAGCATTTACTCAGACTTGAAACAAGGGTTGGTCACAGGCAGAAATTTTGTTATGCAATGGCCAGATGGGTATTTGAACCCAGGACCCTCCAAACTCTAGACAGTGGCCTTACCAATTGAGCTACCTGGTCCCGGAGTATAGACCGATTAGACCCAGTTCAGTTCTCCTACTTTCCTCCCTCCTTCTCATCCTTGAAGACAACTCTATTTACAACCTAGGTTTGGGTATCCCCTTGTAAATGCCAAGCATTCACTCAAATTTGAAACAAGGGTTGGTCACAGGCAGAAATTTTGTAAATGGAGAGAAAAAATGCAATGGCCAGATGGGTATTTGAACCCAGGACCCTCCAAACACTAGACAGAGGCTCTACCAATGGAGCTACCAGCTGCAGTTTGCCAACAATTGACCTAGTCAAGTTCCACTACATATGTATAGCTACAACAAAATATTACTTACATTCACCATTGTATGAAGTTATAACTTAACATTGGAGATCTCACAGACCCTCTACTGATTGAGCTACAAGGTTGCCACCGATCAACCCTGTCCAGTTCCACTACACACATATAACCCTGTCCAGTTCCACTACATACATAACCCTGTCCAGTTCCACTACATACATATAACCCTGACAAGTTCCACTAGATACATATAACCCTGTCCAGTTCCACTACACACATATAACCCTGTCCAGTTCCACTTCATACATAACCCTGTTCAGTTCCACTACACACATATAACCCTGTCCAGTTCTACTACACACATATAACCCTGTCCAGTTCCACTACATACATATAACCGTGTCCAGTTCCACTACATACATATAACTCTGTTCAGTTCCACTACATACATATAACCCTGACAAGTGCCACTAGATACATATAACCCTGTCCAGTTCCCCTACATACATATAAACCTGTCCAGTTCCACTACATACATAACCCTGTCCAGTCCCACCACATACATATAACCCTGACCAGTTCCACTACATACATATAACCCTGTCAAGTTCTCCTACACACATATAACCCTGTCCAGTACCACTTCATACA